AGAAAGAACCATTGTGTCCTTAACAGTTTTGCATTACAGTAAAGAAACTTTGGTGGAAAATGTACATTGTTTATAAAAATAATGCCACAAATTCACAAATTCTAAGAAACTTGCACCTAAATATAATAAATGATATTAAAATTAATTATTTATCTTTACATATAAATATCAGTGCCTATATATATATATATGTATATATATACATACATACACACATACATACACACACACGTTAAAAACAAAATTTTTGTTATTTGAAATTAATCAATATGAACAGAAAATAAAATATTTTATAAAATATAAAAATTACAGATTTTTAGTTAGTTGCCAATGCAACATTTCTAATTTTGTGTAGTTTAAGAAAACAGGAAATAGACATATTACCAAAACTTTAAAATTAAAATGAATAAATATAAATAAATATTAAATTATATAATAAAAAATATAATTTATATTTTAATATTAAAAATATCAAAATACAATATATATATATAATATATAAAAACTACTTTATTACATACATCATTTTATAAATTTATATTTAAAAAAATCACTATAATTTTATAAAAACTACTTTAATATTACATACACAAAGAAATTTTGTGTCCTCAAAAACAATTAAAATGCAATGATGTCACCATGACTATATAATATAGAATAATATTCTAATAACAAATAATAATATAAAAATATAGTTCAATATTATAAACATGTATATTTATTAATTCATTCAATATTATATAGAGAAAGATACAGAGAGAGAAAGAGATAGATTTCCCCCTCAAAATATTCCATAACTTAATGTTGACATTTACCCAAATTTTTAAGACAGATTTAAATAAACACTTGTGTATGTTAAACATCTGGGTAGCCAAAAACCCAAATCACATTTAATTGTCAATAACAACTGAGAATTCAATCACAGGCACAATATGTGTGTAAAAATAAAGAAAACACACACACACCAGAACAGCCCTCTTTACACCTGGTATTAACGTCTGACTCGGATGGTCTGAGCATAAGTGGACGACACTAAATACCAGACCAGTGCTGTTACTGTAAACTAAAACTATTAGAAATATTTTATATTAAATTAAATAATGCTGAAATAACAAAGTAAAATATAAATATTACATCAAAAACTTAAACCTAATAAATACATTTAAGTACTAAAATTACTGACACATAAATATAATGAAATATTTGGAAATTATAAATAAAAAATATATTAAAAAAAATATTGAACAACTAAAACTAATTAAAATTACAAAAGTACATAAAACTACTCAAACTTAAATTAAATCAAAGCTGAAAATAAAAAATTAAAAGCTCATTCAAAATGTTACTAAATAGTATATAAACAATACTCTAATAACATTATTTTAATAGTATATAAATACCAAAATAAACAAATTAAATGTAAAAAGTACTAAAACTGAAATAATATAATTTAAATAGAAATAGAAATTAAATAAAAACGAATGAAAATGACAATCACATAAAAACTACTAAAACTTAAAACTGAAAATATAAAATTGATATAATAAATAATAATAAAAAAAATATATATATATAAATATAATAAATATATAAATAATACTAAAATAAACAAAAATATAATTAAAACTAAAACTAAATGAGTTTAAGTACCAAAATTAGTCCAACTAAATCTGAAATAAATATATAATCAAAATGTAATCATTAAAATTGTCATGAATTTCATCACAACATTGTGAAAAAATTTCATTAATGTTTTCAGATTTGCTGAATATTACATTTACATGGTTATTAAATTATTCATGTTTTTAAATATTAACTTAACACATTAATTTACATATGCAATTCTCTCAAATGATACAGAAATGACACACTGCGACTTCAAAGACAGTTCTGTTATGCAGTGCAGTTTAAAAACATTGGACCAATCAGAAGAATCTGGGGGCGGGGCGAGTGTTTATTGTAACATCTGACTGCTCTCAAATCCTCTTATTAATATCTGAATCCTGGCTCAGTGTTGATGGTTTTGGAGGCGTCTCACCTTGTCGGCGTTGTCGGCCGCGAGCAGGTTGGTGGCGAGCGTCTGCAGCTTGTGTTGGGCCATGTTCTTGAGCGCAGCCAGACTGCGGCGGGTCATGGCCTGCTTCAGGTTCACCGCGGGGTGATTGAGGGAGTCCAGAGCGGCGGGAACCACCTCGTCACACGCGTTCAGAATCTCCACTGCCGTTATACCCATCACACAGCGGTCCAGTGCTCCTGAAACACACACACAAACAACACACTCAATACAGGAGTTATCCGCTACTGTGTAATCTAAATTGTAATCTTCATTTAGTTTATGTGAAAGTACTAAAACTGAAATGAAAATTAATTTAAAAAAAAATTAAGACATTTTTAAAAAAATAAAAAAATGACAAAAACAGCAAAATGACTGAAAGATTAACTAAAATTACAATTAAAATATAAAAAGTAATAAAATAAAATTAAATAAGTTTAAGTACTAGTTACTAAAAACTAAACTTGAAAAAATATAATTAAAAGCTAAATAGAAATATAAAAAAACGAATAAAAATGACAAAAACATAAAATTACACTCAAAAACACTTACTAAAATTCAAATGAAAGTATAAATAAAAAATTATAAAAAATTAAATAAGTTTTAGTAATAAAATTATCAAAACTAAATTTAAAAAAAAATGTACAAAAAAAATTAAAAACTGAAATCATTTAATTAAAAGCTATAAATAATTTTAAAAATAAAAATACAATAAATTTTAAGTACTAAAATTATAACTGAAAAAAATAATTAAAAGCTAAATAGAAATATTTAAAAAATTGAACTGACAAAATCACGGCAAAATTACTAAAACTTCAAAAATTTAAATATAAAAAAATAAATGTAAAACAAAATAATTTCAAGCACTAGAATTCCAAAAACTAAAACTGAAATATAAAATATAATTAAAAAAATATATATATAAATATAAAATATATATATGTAAAATATATAAATATAATATATATACAGGTACATCTCAATACATTAGAATGTCGTGGAAAAGTTCATTTATTTCAGTAATTCAGCTCAAATTGTGAAACTCGTGTATTAAATAAATTCAATGCACACAGACTGAAGTAGTTTAAGTCTTTGGTTCTTTTAATTGTGATGATTTTGGCTCACATTTAACAAAAACCCACCAATTCACTCTCTCAACAAATTAGAATATGGTGACATGCCAATCAGCTAATCAACTCAAAACACCTGCAAAGGTTT